TCATAGGCAGCATAGTTCTAAGTTATCCAGGTCCAAAATTTCACACCTGGTGGTATAAGGTAATCTACTGAGAGCTGAGGAGTGGAGGACTCTTCTCATGAAATACCTCTGGATTCGTTCATATATCATGTGAAGTTTTCCCGTGGTCATCTTTAAGCACACAGTTCTTTTCTTCATTGTTGTCTTCTTTCTCTCTCTCTTTCTCTTTTTTTTTTAACCTCCAGTTGGAATGAAGGAGGCTAATTAATTTCAGACCATACTTGATGAAGTCAGCACCATAGGAAGGGCTGTGTGCAAGACATGGCTGATTTCTTTCAGCTGAGAGTGATGAATTAAAGATGAAGCTTTGCTTTCACAACTCTAATTTAGAATGCATATACATATATATAGCAAATAATGCTTATATCCTCCATAACAAAGAAAAACTTGTTCTGGTGAGCTCCCATCATTTGTTAAGCTCTGAAAAAAATCTTTGATTCTTGTTGGCAACTCATCTGTGAATGGGCGAAACAGATCAAAAAATACACAATTTTTTTTCCCTGCATGTTTTGCATAAGTGTGCGTTTGTATGCACGCATGCATGTTTGATTATATACTGCTTTAGCTCAGGGCCTCTTGCTAAGGCCTATTAAATATTGTTTAAGGGTGCATATGTGGCAATTTAAAGATGGTGTCTTAAAAATGTGAATTGCTAAATGATAAATTAAATAAATGATAAAAGACAGGATTGGCCGATCCCTAGACAAAACTGGGGTTAAAAAAAACCTATTTGTACATAGATTGTGCATTTTTTTCAACCAACTTTCAGAAGACAAGAGGAAAGTTGGAGAAACAGAGTAATTCATTCTATAACAACAATGTATTGTTTGGGTGGGATTTTATGTGACATCACCATCCAAAATTCTTCAGCCTGGATTTTCACATTTCCTAATTCCATCCTGATAGTCTCACCTTGATGAACTCACCAAGAACAATTTAAAAAAATGTCTCCTTATACCTGGAGACAACCCATAGGAATATCTAACCTTGCAGACTATGTGACATACTTTGAATCCTGCCAAGAATGTAATAAGGATTAATGGAGAGGCAGTTTCTGTAAGCAACACCAGAATGTTTCCTTCCTGCCTTCCTTACAGGATTAGGCCAGTAATTTCTTCTAACAACCGGTTCTCCAAACTGCTTAGAATGTTAACAACTGGTTCCAGCGAATAGGTGCAAACTGGTAGAATCCTACCCCTGACTTATATTATAAGCAATGTGCATAATGTGAATGCAGCATTCATTTCATATATAAGCTGCTTCAAGGTAGACGCATGGCTTCTACCCGTGAGAGTTGGGGATACAATCCCCTCACCAGGGAAGCCCGCTGAATGTCTGGAGGCATCTCACTAGCTTTCAACCCAGCTTTGCTCACAAGTTTATTATTCTCAGCATAAAAGTAGAGAAAAGGAATACAACACATACCATGTTGAGCTCCTGGAAGAGAGGCATGACAGAAATGGAATAAATGAATAAAGCATTGGTCTTGATTTAGAAGATCTTAAGCAATATAGGTCCCCAGTTATGTCTTCATATGCTTTGCTATCTTTAATTGTAGTAACAGGGGTTGGCAATATGTATGATTGTAGTTCCTTATGTCATAGCTTTTTCAGAGGTTTGTACATGTTTGAAACTGTGGTCTGAGCTAAGTTATTCATCTATCAATAGTTGTTTGGGCCTGGTTCAAAAAAGACCCTATATATTTCCATAAATAAAGACATTTACTAAATAAATAAACCCTTTTAAAGTCTCAGGATCTTGATTTTGAAGTGAAGTCCACCATCACTTCTTCACTACCCTTGTTAATGGAAATTTGAACACAATCTAGTGTACTTTGGCTGAAGATGGTTATAATTCTTCAAGCAACCAGAAGCTGCACAGCTCAGGTCTCCAAATTGGGGGAAAGATCGTAAAGTCAAGATTTTAATTTCCTACTTAGAAATGTGAGCCTGAGTAGGATTTCAGATGTCCTACTTTAATGTCAGAATGGAAACTTGCACTGTATATTGAAGGAAATACTTGTCAATGCATTTATACTGTATATTCAGGGCTAAGGCAGAAGTGATTGACCCACATGAATCAATCAATGTTTACCAAAATCTGCCTTATAATTTTATGAGTGTTCTTTTCTTGAAAAAAACAGATTCTGTTTTTCAGTCATCTTCTCAGAATTCTGGAGAATTTCTTTTTAATCATTCTTGGTAGTATTATCTTGGACTTATCTTATTCTCAGTTGTGATAGAATTGTCTATGGAGATCCAGGTCATGGTTATTGATGTTTTTTTTTCCAAAAGGCAACTGGACTTTCTTGTGTTGTTGTTGTTGTTGTTTTGATAAGGTTTTGCTTCTCATCCAAGAAGTTTCTTCAGTTCTGGCAGAATTATTACCGGTGGGATTTTGTGTGACATCACTGTTTAAAATTCTACAGCCTGGATTGTCACATTTCCTATTTCCATCCTGATGTCTTTGATGAACTCACCAAGAACAATAAAAAATTTGTCCTTATACCTGGAGACAACCCGGAGGAATATTTAACCTTGCAAACCAGGTGACAGACTTTGAATCTTTTTCACATCAAAGAATCCCAGGTTCTTTTTTGGACTGCAAAGACTATGATCCAGAGCTGAGCTGATTTATGATGCTAAGAATAAATAGTCCAATGATATCTGGAGAAGTGAAGTTGCATCTAGAGAATGAGGAAGTACACAGAAAGTAAATGAATGCTGGCCTATAAAATAGCAGATTTTAGAGATATTGCGTCTTGTTCTATAAATTGAATCTGAGATACCCCAAAACATATACAATGGTTGAGTCTGCATAAATACTAAGGCCTACTTTTACTCAACCATGATTTATCTTTAATGGCTTTCCTCACACACTAAATGATAAAACATGATTTCATGCCAGTGAATTCTGCTGTGAAGTCTTGTTGGTGTGTGGAGGTGAAAGAAGAAAATATTATTCCATTATACCACTACTATTCTGAGTTAATCATATTGTTCTGACATTTTCAACTGGTGTTTCTACACAGCTGCCTAGCTTTGTATCTCAGAAGTCCTCGTTTGAAGAAATCTGTTTTGAATTATGGCTGATTTACACACGAAATCAATCATTGATCCATTGATTGCTTCTGAAATTATTTTGATTCTTTAATAATGCACTTTTCGTCCCCTACCTTCAGACTCTGATTAAAACCAGGCAAAGCCCATGGGGGGGATTCCTTGGGACAGGAAAGGACAAATAAGATCCCAGCTTTTTCTTATTGAGGTGCCATTAGAGCATATAAATCTAGTCAAGGTTGTGATAAATGCAGATTGATGCATTATGCTAGCCAAATGGAGTTTATGGATTGTGTCTCGTGATTCACAGTTCTCTGAGGTTGTGCTTCTGAACTGGATTCTTGCTATAGTTTGGAAGACAGCATTCTGAGTGAAGCATTGTTATTCCTCTTCCAGATGTAATCCTTGGCCCTATCAAGAGACAATTCTTTGAGGAAAAGATGGGCAGCCTATAATTTTTTTTAAATAAATAAAATGATTTACGGCTCCCTTTTAAGGGGACCCAAAAACGTATCCGTGAGTTCATTCCATCACACAAAACCAGTGAGGAAGGACTTCTGATTCTAGGTCCTAATATGTGGTATAGTTTGGAAGGACCGTCCATAAACAAAGAAAAACAAACCAGGTACAGATGGATACGTTTAGCTGAAGAAATTCAGGGCCAAATGTCAAGCTATTAGGTGCATTAAACCAGCCAGATGTCTAGAGAAATACTAGCCAATTTTCAGTGTGTTTGCTAGACCTGGTCCCTGAAGCACTTAGTTGTTTGTTTTGAACATTGGATCCCCACATCTTGATTCAATATGAATACATTCACCAATTTAGCATTTTAAAGAAAGTTTAGAACCAGTCAAGGGTAGGCCACCTGGTGTCCTCCAGATGCTGTAGATTTTAACTTACGGCCATAGCAAACAATGGGGAAGGACTGTATCTAATCCAAACATCTGAAAAACACCAGGATATCTGAAGAATAACTTTGTGGGCATAAGAAACTGGTCTCAATTCAAGTATGCCATTCAATTTATCTAGTTAAGCTATGGACTGGCCATGGTTCTAAAACAAGCCCTGGAAATCTGCAGTCACAGGATAGCGTGTCATTTCTAAACTCACATTCTGTAGCCTTCAGGGTCCCTTTAACCATAAATGCTGAAAACATGCCATGTTGAGATGGGAAACAAATGAAAATTGTAATATAAGCAGTAAAATAAAGCGAAGCACAGGTAAATAAAAAAGAAACACTTTAACATAACCTGAAGAACCTGCCTTACTAGATATGTGATGTGATTCCTTTGCTACAAAATATTCCATATTTCCCTATTGAAACTTGTAGTCCACAACCCTTTTCCTACACTAACTGAGAGTCCGAATCTGAGACTCGGAGCTTCATATGCTCCAAGCGACCAGAGTTTTTGACCAGGTTTGACCAGAGCTGTGACCAGGTTTTCCCAGTCTGATGCCTCCTAGATATACACTTGGGAGGTTTGAAAGTTTGGAGATGACTATTGTAGCCTATAGACATCCAAAGAATGTCATACTGGAGATCCAGCATGCGTTATGGTGAAGATATCAAACTAGGCAAAAGAAGACTCAGATTCTAAGTCCTCCTTTAGCTCCGATGTCATCTGGGTGACTTGTGGCCAGTCTCCTCTTCTCAGTTAATGGAAAGTAGTTGAGAAGGTGCTTGAATAGAAGTTTCCAACATCTAAACACTCTTTTTCTCTCTTCTTCATGTTAAAATTTGAACTAATAAACCTGAAATTCCACAAAATTTCAGAAGTTAATATTATGAAACATTAACTCCTAATTCTTAAACGTATGCCACCATGGATCATTCTCCTTCATCAACTTTGTTTATGACCTTTCCCCCACCCTCATCCCAAATAACTAGTGTTATACAGTGGCTTTCATCTGAAGGTTTATTTTTAAGACCATCTGAAGGAATTGCCCATTTGAACCCCAGACCTTCACTGATTGAGTTGATTTGCTGAGTTAGATCAGGGGCCTTCAAATCCTTCTTGCTGATTTCAATAGCCTTTTGAAACAAATGGTTGTGAATCCATTTATTCAGATGAGGTCTGATCGGATTGTCGCATCTGTTCGGCAGATTTATTTTGTGATTCCCTTCAGCAAGGCAAAGGGAGTTCCAAAATTCCAATGAAGTATCTAAAGAAGTCAAAAGCACCTCATGAGTACAGTTTGCCCGCTCCTGCTCTGGACCTTAGAATTAAATTAATTGGCAGTAGAGACAGGGCAGAGAAGATGATTCTTTCGTCAAGCTAATTGTCACTTGCTTGGGTATCTTTAAGAAGATATTTAGACAAATTTACAGAGATTAGGCATATTAACAACTAATGGCCATGTCAGTTAAATTTCTAGCTTCAGAAATAGAAATCACATACCTTTTGATATCTACTGTGCTGATGGGCAAGTCAATGTGTAAGCTTTCATTCCCACCGATAGTCTGCTGAAACACATCTGGATTAGAAACTGAAGGCTGGTCTTGGTGAATCTTTATTCTTTCCCCAAAAAAACATCATCTTAGCTAGTTCTCTGAAAAGGAAGGAAAGGCCATTGGAACACGCACAGAGGTTTTTCATCATCGTGTTAAGAGACCAATATGGTTTTGCCCATGGCACATCATCTCCTGGAGATTCTTTTTCAGAATAACAGAGTTGGAAGGGACCTTAGAGGTCTTCTAACCCAGCCCCCTACCCAAACAGGAAACCCTACATCATTTCAAACAAGTGACTGTCCAATCGCTTCCTAAAATCCTTCGGTGATGGGAGTACCCACAACTTCTGAAGTGAAGCCATTCCACTGGTTAAGTGTTCTCACTGTCAGGAAATTCCTCCCTCTTTCTAGGTTGTTGGGTTTTTTTTTTCTTCATTAGCTTCCATCCCTTTGCTTCTCAGGCCACGGAAAAGAATGATTCTGTCCTCAGCTTAAAAGCACTTCCCTTTCGCTCATGCTTAAGGGAGAGAGAGCATGGTTGCATGCCACGGTTTTATTGATTAAAAAAAAAAGACTTAAGCCAAAACATGCACATTACCTTTTTTGAAAAAGGTGGAGGGAGAAGAAAAAAGAGGAGGAGAATTTCTGATTGCAGATAAGCGCTCAATTTGATTTAGTGTCGAATGATTGTGATGGGGTTGATAACTCGGCATTCATCAGTAATTCATCTTCTCTTGGTAGAAATTTACCGCAAAGCCAGAGCTTTCCCATCCCTGACAAGTCCTATTAATCTTCTTCAGACACATTTCAATAGGTGTCTCCATCTCAGCCCTTCATCTAAACACTCTGAGTGTTGCCAGAGACTGGGAGATGCCTTTATTTCAGATTCCACAAGGAGGGAAGAGGAGACTTTCTTAGGCTGGGGGGAGATGGAGGGTTTTTTTCAATCCTCCCTGTCCATGGAGTCTTTTATCATTCCTGGATAACTTTCTTTAACTCAACCTGGAAAGGAAAACATTCCTTTTTTGAAAGAGCAACCCATTGAGCTATATCAGCTTTCTGTAACCAGCCACCCGTCAATGCTTGGGATTCTACCCCTTGCCATACCCAACTTACACATACTAAGTAGCCACGGAGTAATAACTGCTTTCTTTTGTGTGTTGCCCTAATGAAGCAAGTTGAGAAATGTTGTGCTCTTTAGGAATAATCGGATGCAACCCACACAGTTTAGTCAACTTTAGTCTAAAGTTTAGTCAAATAACAATCTTGAGATGAAATGCACTGTATCTCCCAGCCTTCTCATCCAAGTTAATACACTGGCTGGGCTGATAGTATATGTAGTTTAGCACATTTAGAAGGTGTCAAAAGAGTGATAGGAAAAGTTGAGCTGGACTGTGTCGTTCAAGAAAGCCATCAATGCTTGATTTGAAATCTGTCTTTAGAAAATAACTATCTTGTTCACTAAGACTAAGCCATATAATTTTCATCCTCTCCATCATGAAAAGGTGACCATACTGGCTTACCTGGTGGAAGTACAGGATAATCCTTGACTTGTGAAAGTTCTCCTAGTGACCCTTCAAAGTTTCAGCATCCCTGAAAAAAAGCGACGTATCATCATTTTCACACTTTAAGACCATTGCAGCATTCCCCTGATCAAAATTCAGATGTTGGACAACCGATTCATATTTATGACAGTTGCAGTATCCCGGAGTCACATGATCAACTTTTGAGACCTCCTGCCAAGCAAATCCAATGGGGAAACCAGATTCACTTAACAACCATGTTATGAATTTAACGACTTACCACCATGGCAAAAGAAAGGCCATAAAATGAGGCCAATGGTCTCGTTTAGCAATAGAGATTTTTGGGCTCAATTGTAGTTATGACTCAAGGACTCCCTGTATATATATGTATATGTGGAAAACCTGCTAGAGGTCTTCTTTTGTAAGGAAAGGGTTCACATTATCTCTATTTTAGTATTGTTGCACATGCTATTTAGAATACCCTCCCTGTGAGAAATTTGATCTGTTCTCTCTTCACTGGATTTTCATTTGAAAATGGGAAAAAATCCCTTTTTTAATAAATAAAAGATCCAGAATTATGGTCAGGGAAATATTCAGCAGGAAGACAGCTATGTGAAGACAGCAAACACCATTGAATATCTTGTGAGTGACCTCCTCTACTACCGTGGTGTTTGATGGTGTAGTGGTTAAAATTTAGTATTGCAGTCTAATTCTGCCCACTGCCAACAGTTTGATTCTCACCAGGCTCAAGACTGACTCAGCCTTCCATCCTTCTGAGGTCGTTAAAATGAGGAGCCAGATTGTTAGGGGCAATATGCTGACCCTGTAAACTGCTTAGAGAGAGTTGTCTATTACTATTGCTATAAATAGCAAGCCATTCCATTATAAGAACTCACCGCCAAAGCCGCAGTGATCTCTCTCACACACAAACAAATATACACACACGTACATACATATACCCCCCCCCAAGATTATCAAAACTGGATTTGAAACATAATCCTGAACCGTTCAATTAAACTGTATGTTTCAACTTTTAACTTGTAAAGTTTGCAAACAGGATGACCCCAAATAAACTTGATCCATCCAGATTTAGCCCAATTCTCCTGTCCAAATTCAATTTCCCTTCCTTAGGCCATTCTTGGTGAACCTTTGGTGGGAGAAGTAACTTTGAACAAGGTCTGGAACATGTCATGATCGTGTGTCGTTGGACAATGGCAACAACAGTGTAGAGAAATCAAAACCTTCACTTCCATCTTGATCCATTTTTAACACACATCAGTCCAACGCCATTTGAGACCCAAGAACCAGAATATGTCTCCTGGGACCGTCTCTCTCTCCCCTATCACACATTAGCTACCAAAGCATGAACAAATATTGCTCTGTGTAATATTTAAAGATGGATTAACTCTGGGTTCTCTTGCAGCAGGCAAAGGAGATGGATGCAAAATGAGTGTGTGTGTGTGTGTGTGTGTGTGTGTGTGTGTGTGTGTGTTGTGCCAAAGAGCTGTTTGGAATTTAAATTTGATCATGAATAGCTGAAGTATTTGGCTAGCAGAACAGAAATATGGTATTATCCTTCTGAATGAAATCCTCAGATTGGTTTTAATGCATCAGACTTGGCACCTTTGAATCAATTCACAGATTTGATGCATTATTAGCATAAATCCTTTTTTTTCCCTGAATTGTTGCAATTCATGCAATCAGTTATTTGAATATACTAGACTTACCATATGGATTTGGGGAGATTCACAGATTCCTAGTGTTTCAGGCTAATTTCAATTTGTTATAGAATTTATAGAACTAAGGAGAAATTAATTAGAACAATTAATTAGAACAATTAATCAGTGGAACGGCTTGAATCCAGAAGTTGTGGATGCTCCAGAATTATAAATTTTTAAGAAGAGAGTGGAGAGCCTCTTCTCTGGAATGGATACAGTTCCTGATTAAGCAGGAGGTTGGAGTAGAATACCTCAAAGGTCCCTGCCAGCTCTGTTATTATGTTATTCTGTTTTGTTATTCTAATGATTACTCAAATATAGACAGGAAAAAATACATAGTGGGGATAAAGTGAAGCAAGTGAAAGCAAGTGAAAGTGAGATGGGCAGCACATAAATTTAATTAATATAGTAATAATTTTATAGCTGATCATACTTTTTTTCATATGATTATAGCTGATCATATTTTTTGCAGTTTTACCTCAGAAATTGAAACAAGTAACATCTAAATGCCAGCTGATAAACTGCCACTTACCTAGTTCCCAGGGGTGGGATTCTACAGACCCACACCTATTCGCTAGAACCGGTTGTTAACATTCTGAGCAGTTCGGAGAACCAGTTGTTAGAAGATATTATTGGCCTAATCCTGTAAGGGAAGGCAGGAAGGAAACATTCTGGTATTGCTTAAAGAAACTGCCTCTCCATTAATCCTTATTACATTCTTGGCAGGACTAGACTTCCTGTCTCAGGAACATCTCTGGAGTTTTTTTCCCCCTCCTTTGCTTGTGTAGAGTGACCATTCAAAATTACAGTGGCACTGAAAAAAGTCACTTATGACCATTTTTCACACTTACGACTGTTGCAGTATCCCTACAGTCATGAGAGGCCAGGCGAGGAGATGTGTGCCTCGATGTGAGTGATATTGAGTTGGCCATGCCCAGCCAATAACATGACCACCAAGCCATGTCCACCCAGTCATATTACCACCAAACCACACCCACCAACTAAGCCACACCCACAAAGCCGGTTGTTAAAAATGTGAATCCCACCCCTGCTAGTTCCCTATGGCGAGTCAAACTCACATTCAGGTAACTAAGCAAATAGGCTGTTATTAATAGATGTAGATGATACCACTCCTATGGCAGAAAGTTGAAGAGGAACTAAGGAGCCTCTTTGATGCAGGTGAAGGAGGAGAATGCAAAAGTTGGCTTGAAACTTTTGAAACATTAACAAAATTAATATCATGGCATCCGGCCCTCTCAATTCCTGGAAAATAGATGGGGAAGAAATGGAGGTAGTGACAGATTTTATTTTCCTGGGCTCCAAGATCACTGCAGATGGGGACTGTAGCCAAGAAATTAAAAGACTCTTGCTCCTGGGGAGGAAAGCTATGGCAAATCTAGACGGCATACTAGCAAATCTAGAAAGCAGAGACATCACCCTGCCAACAAACGTGTGTATAGTCGAGGCTATGGTTTTCTAAGTTGCAATGCATGGTTGTGAAAGTTGGCCCATAAGGAAGGCTGAGCACCAAAGAATCGAGGCCTTTGAACTCTGGTGCTGGAGAAGACTCCTGTGAGTCCCTTGGACTGCATGGTGATCCAACCGGTCATTCCTAGGGGAGATCAACCCTGACTGCTCTTGAGAAGGCCAGATCCTGAAGATGAAACTCAAAGACTATGGCTGCCTAATGAGAAGGAAGGACTCACTGGAGAAGAGCCTAATGCTGGGAATGATTGAGGGTAAAAGAAGAAGAAGAGGATGGCAGAGAATGAGTTGGATGAATGCAGTCACTGAAGTAGTTGGCGTGTGCTTAAATGGACTCTGGGAGATGGTAGAGGACAGGAAGGCCTGGAGGAACGTTGTCCATGGGCTTGCAATGGGTCAGATACAACTTCGCAACTAACAACAACAATAGATGCAGAGATGCCTTCATTCTCCCCACTATTATTTTCCTTTCCTTTCCAGTATCTACATTCCATAAATTGCAGATATAGGAATGTGTTCGCCATGGTTTCTCATTGCACAAGTAATGAAGTGGGTTTTTTTTTTTGGTATTTCTGCATTTCTTAGATATTTCTGGCTGGAACGCATGTGGCGTTTCATGCTTCAGTAATGACATTCACAGGTGCATGAGAAAGAGGGAGAAGGGAGAGTTCAAAAGTCCATTTTATAGGCCACATGTCAATGTCCTTTAAGGACCACCCAGGTAGCAGGCAACTCATTGTGTGTGGGTCAGTGGAATGAATATGTGGAAATCATATGTTCCTTGCCTAATCCGAGATGACATTTAGCCTTGATTCATGGAAACAATTGCAAGCCTTACCTTTTATTTATGGAGATGACCAATGTTCTGCCATCATCTTGAGAAGTTTCTCAGCTGTCCTTCTTTGTCCTGCATCCAGAAGGTAGGTGTGTTCATCACTGAGTGCTTCCATCAAAACCACCTTGAGGGATTCCTACAATAAAAAGACGGGGCTTCAATAGAATCCCTCTTGTCTCGAGACATTAAATTGAGAAAGTATGGACAAACTTCCAGTTTATTGTAATTTCTTCTTGTTTTGAGCTGAAAAGTTCACCTGCACTTCCCCCCCTCCTTTGTCATTTTATTGCATCAAAGGGAATTTGTTTTTGAAATTTCCTTCAAAGAACATAAAACTAGACAAAATATTGTCAGTGAAATGGGATCTATCTAGCTATATTCCAAATACAAATTAAAAATCATTAAATAAATGAGAGAGAGAGGAGAGAGGGAGGGAGGGAGGGAGGGAGGGAGGAAGGAAGGAAGGAAGGAAGGAAGGAAGGAAGGAAGGAAGGAAGAAAGAAAGAAAGAAAGAAAGAAAGAAAGAAAGAAAGAAAGAAAGAA